ATCTGTGTGACAGAGAAATTCTGAGCGTGACTGTGCAGAAGACAGCTGCTTGTGATCGTGTAAAATGATGTTGTCTTCATTGGTCCAGGCCCCAAGAGGCTTGGGTTCTAGTCTTGTCTCTTGATATCTTACTGTGTGATTGACCCTCGACACTTCTCTTTACCCTGGAACTTGAGTTCCCCATTTATCAAAGAAGAAGGACAGAACACAAGTTCCCAACAGGACTACATGACAGAGTATAGAAAGAGGAAGAGCCAGAGCTAATATGGCAGATTTTTTTGGGATAAGTCAGCTTCCCCTTATCCCAAAGCATAGTATACACTTTGGAGATCATCTAGAGTGGCCTAGAAAAATGGACAGAGTAGCTGCGAGGGGGACCCTGGCTGGTATAAACGGTTAATGCGCTTGGCTGCCAAAGGTTGGAAGTTCAAACCCACCAAGAGACGCCTCAGATGAAAGGCCTGGTGATCTAGTTCCAAAAAAGCAGCCACTGAAAACCCTATGGAGCATGGTTCTACTCTGATACACATGACAGCCACGAGTCAGGATGACTCCCTGGCAATTGGTACTGGTACTGGTGGCTGAGAGAGAGCTGAAAGCAGAGCTGGGGTGCCTTAGACCCTGTTGGTACACAGGATGCGCCTGTGACCACCTGGCTGCCTGACGGAACCAATTCCAGGGCCATCTGTGGTTTTAAACAGGAAGTATCTTCTCTTCTTTCCTTTAACTTAGAGTGATCTGGTATACAAAGAACAAATCCTCAGCCTATTCTGCAGGGGTATAATCTCAAAGATAGAAAAGCTTCACTCCCTAAAGAGACAACCAGTGAAGTCCTTCCTGGTCTGCCATGGTTCCGGAAATCTCAACGTTTTGCCAAGTTTTACTTCATCTGCTGCTGTTGAGTGTTGTCAAGTTTATTCCGACTCATAGGGACCCTATAGGACAGAATAGAACTGCTCCACGGGGTTTCTAAGGCTGTAATCTTTACGGAAGCAAATTGCCACGTCTGTTCTCCCTTGGAGCCACTGGTGGGTTCAAACCACCAACATTTCTGTTAGTAGCAGAGTGCCTAACCACCATGCCACCGGGGCTCCTTCATTCAGTCAGTACTTACTGAACATCTGTTTTGTGTCAGGTACTGTTATGGACTGAACTGTGTTCCCCAAAAATATGTGTTGCAAATCCTAACCCCTGTCAAAAAACCAAAATCCGTTGCCATTGAGTTGATTCCAACTCATAGCGATCCTATAGGACAGAGGAGAACTGCCCCATAGGGTTTCCAGTGAGTGGGTGGTGGATTCAAACCACCGACCTTTTGGTTAACAGCTGGGCTCTTAACCACGGTGCTAGCAAGGCTCCCTGTACCTGTGGTTATAATCCCATTTGGGAATGAGTTTTTTGGTTATGTTAATGAGGCAGTATTAGTGTAGGGTGTGTTTTAAATCAATCTCTTTGGAGATACAGTAAAACTTGCAAAAGCCAAAACCTACGTAAGGCAGAAACCCGTCAGAGAAGGAAGACTCAAATATTTTCCACTAATAGAGAGTGATGGTGGCACAGGGCTTAAGAGCTCAGGCTGCTAACCAAAACATCGGCAGTTCGAATTCACCAGCTGCTCCTTGGAAACCCAGGGGGCAGTTTTAATCTGTCCTATAAGGTCGCTTTTAGTCAACTATGAGACAGAATTGATTCAACGGCAATGGGTTTGCTTTTTGGAGAGAGCAATAGAAAAGTGATCAGATTGCAGCCTGTCAAAGATGGAAAACTTGTGAGACCCGGAAAAACAAGGCAGTCCTGGTGAGTTTTGGCTCTCACAGCTGTCACTGTGTAAGGGAGCAGACTAAGCAAGCAAGCAGAAATGGAGGGGAACATGCATGTCATGCGATCGCCGAGGAGGGGAAGCTGAAAAGCGACAAGGACCTTCCGCCAGAGCCAACAGAAAGAGAGAGCCTTCCCCTAGAGCCCACACCCTGAATTCAGACTTCTAGCCTCCTAAACTGAGTCAGAATCAACTTGACAGCAACGGGTTTAAACTGTGAGAAAATAAATTTCTGTTAAAGCCACCCACTTGTGGTATTTCTGTTATAGCAGCACTAGATAACTAAGACAGACAGCGTGCTCAGAGCCAGGGATATGAAGATCATCTCTTGCCTCTTAGATGGCTCCCTTTTCCAGTCTTTCCTCTCTACAATCCATGTCTATATGTCAGTCACAGTGATCTTTTAAATATATAGATCATGTCACTTTCCTGCTCGAACCCCCCAGCAGCTTTCTTTGGTATTTAGGATAACATGCAAAAATCCATCCCGAGAACTACGGGGCCCTGCAGGGTCTGGCCTGAGCCTACCTTTCTGACCTCACACTACCCTTTTTGTTGTTGCAGACACCAAAATGATTCCTAAATCAGGGTCTTTTTTTGGTGAAGTGGTGGGTAGGACTTAAAGTGCAGGGGTGGATTATCCTATAGGCAAGGTAAGCACAGTGTTTACCTTGCTTACCAGATCATCTGTAGTGAACAATTTCTCAATTTTTCAGGACATCAAAGATTCTGCTTCTAGGTATGGCTGGCATCTGTCTCTCCCCCAGCCCCACAGGGTGAAACCCATGTAAAATTGTTCACTACAGATTAGTAAATGTTATGGATTGAATTGTGTCCCCCCAAAATGTGTGTCAACTTGGCTAGCCCATGATTCCCAGTATTGTGTCATTGTCCACCATTTTGTTATCTGATGTGATTTTCCTACGTGTTATAAATTCTACCTCTATGATGTTAACGAGGTGGGATTAGCAGCAGTTATGTTAACAAGACAGGACTCAATCTACAAGATTAGGTTGTGTTTTAAGTCAATCTCTTTTGAGATATAAAAGAAAGATGTGAGCAGACATAGGGACTTCATACCACCAAGAAACAAGAGCCAGGAGGATAGTGCGTCCTTTGGACCAGAGGTCCCTGTGCTGAGAAGCTCCTAGACCAGGGGAAGATTGATGACAAGGACCTTCCTCCAGAACTGACAGAGAGAGAAAGCCTTCTCCTAGAGCTGTCGCTCTGAATTTGTACTCCTAGCCTCCTAGACAGTGAGACAATAAATTTCTGTTTGTTAAAGCCATCCACTTGTGGTATTTCTGTTCTCCCAGCACGAGACAACCAAGACAGTAAGTAAACACAAGTAAATCTGTGCTTACCTTGCTTATTGGCTAATCCACTTCTACTCAGGTGAATTGAGTTCATCACATTTCTCATCAGAAGTGCCCTCTCTTGCTTTGTATATGGTATTTTGTTTTATCTTCAGTTCTTCATTCCCATTCCTTTCCCTCCACAGGCAAGCATTCTAAAATGTTTAATGTGCATCTTTCCATTTGTATGTGTTCTCTCAGAATGTGATATCTCAGAATGTGATGTTTTAAATCTGCGTGACATGTATCATTCTATTTTGTACTTTTCTCACTCAGCACTAGGTTTTGACATCTAACTATATTGTTATGGGCGCATTTGAACACACCATGTATATATTTTACCTATCCATTCTCCCAGTGATGGACAGTGGATTGCCTCCAACTCCCCATCTCCAGGAATGATGCTGTAATGAGCCCCCTGCCCACTGGGTGAGAACCTGTGTGCTGGGCAACAGGAGTGCACTTGCTGGGCACTGGGCGTGCAATATACTTAATCTGCCTAAGTAGTGGCAGATTTCTTTCCAAAATAGCCTCACAGGCTACACTCCCTCAGGGTCTCTGTACTTGCTGTTCCCTTAGTCTGGAACAATTGTCCCTTGGGCTCTTGAAGGGGCTCTCTCCAGCTCATCAGCATGGTCTCCGAGAGGCCTTCCCAGTCTTACAGTTATCCCAACAACCTACCCTTCCCAGGTTTGCTGTTGTTGTTACTTGCCATTAAATCTGACTCAGGGTGACCATATGTGCGCAGAGTACTCTCTGTCATTTTTATTTCCGTTTGTTAAATACACAATTTTAAATTATTTGTGATTAATTATTTACTATCTGCCTTCTGGAAACCCTGGTGGTGTAGTGGTTAGTGCTACAGCTGCTAACCAAAAGGTCGGCAGTTCGAATCCACCAGCCGCTCCTTGGAAACTCTAATGGGCAGCTCTACTCTGTCCTATAGGGTCGCTATGAGTTGGAATGGACTCCAGGGCAACGGGTTTGGTTTTTTTTTTTTTTTTTCCCCCTGATCTGCCTTCTCTCCAAGGACAGGGGGGTGCTATCCTGTTTACTAGGCATCTAGCCTTAGCCTGTGGTAGGCTCTTAACAAATATTACTAAACAAACGAATGAAATAATAATTACAATAAATTGTAATATGGTATCAGTGGAGTCCCTGGGTGGTGCAAACATTAAGTGCTCAACCAGTAGCAGAAAGGTTGGCAACTAGAACCCCCCCCCAGGCGCCTCGGGAGACAGGCCTGGCGACCTGCTTCCCAAAGGTCACACGTGGAGTCGCCATGAGTCGGAATCAACTGGATGACCACTAACAACAACAACAACATTACATCAATCTGTTCTAAACTGTACTGTTAGAAAAGCCGGGAACATAACGGATCAGAGAATTAGGAAGGGCTTTTTAAATGGGACCGAAATAGCGGATTGCGGAGCGCTGGTGGCACAGCGGTTAAGGGCTACAGCTGCTCACCAGAAAGTCAGCAGTTCGGATCCACCAGCCGCTCCTTGGAAATCCTATGGGGGCAGTTCTACTCTATCCTATAGGTCGCTGTGAGTCGGGATCTACTGAACTGCAACGGTTTTTTTTTTTTTTTTTGGTTAAAGGGCAGATTGGAAGCCCTGGTCAACAAGCCCATCTGCACGCAGCTCAATTCCACAAGACCCCACCGTTATAACCATCCCTAACTATTTTCACCTTTCCACGCGGCCCCTCCCGCCGGCCAGGTGGTGCGAAGCCGGGCAAACCCGCAGGGGCTCCCGGAAAGCGCCGTCTGGGAAGAACTAAAACTACGTTTCCCAGCATCCCGCGCGCCGCCGACGCACTTCCGGAGTCCGTGGACGAAATGGCGGCGTCTGAGGAGCACAATTCTCCGACTGAAGCGCCCCAGCCAGCGGTGGAGGACGAGGAAACGAAAACTTTTAAAGACCTGGTGAGAGTGGGTGACTCTGGCTTCTCTTTGTGCCGCTGGCGTGAGGCGCAGGCGGCGTCTTGTTTCCTTAGGTCCCGGCCGGTGGTGTACCAAAGTAGTCAAGGCCTAACGTAGACCTTCCCTCGGATTTTAGCTCGGCTTCGGACGCGCACCTTCAGCCTCTGAGTTTGGGTGGTGGGAGGGCTGCCGAGCTCCGAAAGTCCTCTTTTGCCACTTTGGTGTGGCGAAGTTTATATTTCTCCAGGAGATTTTACATGTGACAAGTCAGTCTTTTGATAGCTTGGGCTTTGGAGTCGGATTAAATAGGTTTGAATTCTGATGATCACTTACTAGAGGCAAGTTACATTATCTCTCTGTGCCTCAATTTCCACTTGTGCAAACTGCGGATAATAATAAGTATTTACCGCACAAAATTGTTGGGACAATTAAATGCTACAACCCCCAGCCCCCAAAACAAAAGAACAGACCCTTTGCCATCGACTTGATTCCGAATCATACATGTAAAGCTCTTGACGTTGCCCCTGGCGAGTAGAAAATACCGGCAAGTCTTGAGCCACTAATAGTACTCACAGTTAAAGAGCAGGCTCTGAGTCGGTGCACAGTAAGTACCTTTTGAATCAAAGTGAAAGGGATGGACATATCACCAGCAGGGTGGCTCTGACTGTCATTTAAGTAGGAGGGAGTTGCGGGGTATGCTGTTCTTTGCTGAGTTGTGTTTTTCTGAATTCTAAGGGTGTGACAGATGTGTTGTGTGAAGCCTGTGACCAGTTGGGATGGACGAAGCCCACCAAGATCCAGATTGAAGCTATTCCTTTGGCTTTACAAGGTATGTTGTCTGATAAAAATTGAGCATGAGGTTATACTCAAGTAAATACTTAGCATTTTGAGAGCTCTTGCTTGCATAATTCAAGTGAAATAAAAATAAGTCACTAAAGATAAAACGTTTGTGCTTATTGCCTTTTGAAAAAAATCAGTTTTTTCTCCAATTTCATTGAGCTTACTTTGTGTCTTTGTAACTGAAGGGATTTGTTGTCTGCCACAGATGTCGACTTTAAGAAAGCACAGGATTAAAGTGTAGTAACAAGAAACTTGTTAGAAATTATGAATCAGTAAGTGCAGACTTACATAAAGGTGCCTGCAACATACATTAGTGTCTAGAGGAGCTGAGAGGTCTTGTTGTCAGGTATGTTTGTCACATTTGCAGAAGAATGGTTAAGGTGCTGGCTGATAACTAGTGGGACTGAAAGTAACAGGATGAACTTTGATAGGAATAGAGGTATAGTCCTGCTTTTAATTCCCAAAACATCAACTTTACAGGATTAGGGTGGGTGGTGAAAGAGACCCAGAGGCGGTAGTTACTGAAATTTATTAAAATTCTCAGAGAGAATGGATGTAATCTTAATTGCATTACTGTAAGAGGAAAGTGATATTTTGGGGGTCCTTTATCCCCTTTGACAATAAAAGAAAAGATTTTCTCCCCAGAAAAAAAAGTGCACAGATATTTTATATATAATTTCAGCGAATTCAAGACACACTCTCCCTCCTTCCTTCCTCAAACCCTTTCCCCTCCTTTGAATTTCTCTCCCATGAGTCCTAGGTTAAGAACTGGACTAGCTCTAGAGAGAGACTGGTGCTTTGCATTGGTTAGAAAACACCTAGAACACTCTGCTTACGTCTGGGGACCACAGTTTTCAGGGACCAACTGAGGGGCAATGAGTGTGGTATAATATCAAGAATAGTCACAAATAGTTAAAGGGACTGAGTGCATTTGGTCTGGAGAAAACATGGGGTAGGATATGATAATTGGCTTTAATGATTTGAAGACCTGTCATGTGAAAAAGGGGTTAGATTTATTCTGTGTATTTATGTTTGTTCCTTCCATAAATAGTTGCTGAGTGTTTGATGTCAGTGTAAGGCACTGGGGGTTAAGATTCTGCCCTTCCCAGCGCTTACAGTCTAGTAAGTCAATAATTACAAATTGATTACAAAGTGAACAGGAACATAAGAAAATTATATTCAAAGTGCTGAGGGAGTAGAAAAGATTACTTCTAATTGGAGAGGATTAGAGAAGACTTATTTCATTTTATTTTTTGGCTGGGAAGATTGAAAAGACGTTTGAGCTGAACCTTGAGGACTTCATAGGATTTAGATATTCAGATATGATGGGAGGGGAGAACCTTCTAGGTATAGGGAACCGCATGAAAAAAGCCAGGGCGGCTGGAAAAGCTGGAGTGTGTATGGCGACCTGCAGGCGCTTAACACAGAGTGGTGAGGGGTTTAATAGGATGATTGAGGTCAGATTTTGAAGGACTTGAATGCTGGGTAAAGGAAGCTGGTCTTTGTTTCATAGGCAGTGGAACTCCTTTGGAGGGTTTTTTTTTTAGTGGGAGAATGAAGTCCTTAGAGTTGTGGTCTTGGAAGATTAATCTCTTAACTCTGTAGGATGGTTTAGAGGGGAGAGACTGGAGGCAGGGAGACCAATTAGGAGGTCATTGCAATTGCAGTAACGGTGGCAATTAACGAGTAGGGTAGTGGTGGTGGTTGTTACTTGCTGTCGAGTCGATTACACTGACTCGTGGTGACCCCATGTACAACAGAATGAAATGTTGCCCGGCTCTGTGCTATCTTCACGATCATTGGTATGCTCAAGTCCATTGTTGTGGCCGCTCTGTATTTTGAGTACCTTTCAATCAAGGGACTCATCTTCCAGCACTATATCGGACAATATTTTATTGTGTTTTAATTGGTTAACATTTGGGGGTAGATCACTAGGATTTTCTGCCGAATCTGCCTTAGCCTGGAAGCTCCACTGAAACCTGCCCACCATGGGTAGCGTTGCTGGTATTCGAAATACCAGTGGTATAGCTTCCAGCATCACAGCAACACCACTGCCTGTCTGTCAGTTCGTTGTACTGTGGTAAGGTAGTGATAGAATGAAAGAGAAAATGAAAGAAAAAGAATCAATGTGATCTGACTACCAGTTAGGTAAGTGGAAGGCATGGAGTGGGGAAATCTAAGATTGTTGCAAGGTTTCCAGCCTATGTGCTTAGGACATACTGGTGTACCACTGATATGAAAATGGAACACACAAGAAAAAATCATTTCAGGGAAGATGAGTTCAATTGGAAATGATTGATTTTAGGCGATCGAGTTGACTGACACAAAGCTGGAATCAAGCTTGATTGAGAGGTCAGAACTGGACATGAAATACAGACACAATATCCAAAGAGAGGTTGTAGCTGAAGCATGAAAGGAAGCGAGGCTGCCAAATAAGGGAAGAGGCCAAGAGATGACAGGAGAAACTGGAGGCCCAGTAGAGGGTGAAAATCACGCAAATTAGGGAAGGGAGAGTGTTTCCAGGAGGGAATGGCAGACACTGTGTAGAGAAGTTAGGAGGATAAGGACTGTATAAAGGCCCTGGTGGGAAAGAAGTAGCAGCAGTGTCAGGCTTGCTTTCAGATAGTTAAAAAAAAAAAAAAAAGTCGGAGCATTTTGACTTTTCCCTGCTCGCCGTACAGCAGAGGTAGCAAGGGGGAATCAACATTAGGTGGTGGTAATAATTCTAAAATTACTCTGGTGTTTTCAGTCAAAAGTTACTATTGATGCAGAGAAAAATAGGGACCAATGGACAGTTACTAGGAACTGAATAACGTGGTTGAAGTGATCACCACCCTTACTGGGCTTGTCTTGTTCTGATGAATAGTGTGCAGATGTTTCATTTGAGTCTATAGGTTATGGACCTAAGCAAATGATTCAGATAATGTAACAAAGGTTTTTTGCTTTCTTCTGTTAATTAACTTTTTAATTTTAATTTGAGTACTAATGAGGGCCTCAGTTGCTACAAAGTTCCTGAGCCCTGGATATGTCTTTTATTCTTAAACCTTAAAACAATCCTGAAAGGTAGGAATTCTTACTGGTGAGAAAATGGAGGCTCAGAGGATTAAGTAACTTGGCTAGAGTCACATAACTAATTATTGCTAGAGCTAGAATATGAATGTAGACTCTTCTAGGCAAGAAACCTGTATTCTTGACTGTATATCGTGGAGTGTTACCATGGAGAGATCAAAATTTTTTGATGGTTTTGGAGGATGATTTCCTTCCACTCTGTTTCATGTATTAAGTGTTAGGTGCTGGCAATGTGGCAGGTGAATATGACAGAATGTGTTGTGCTCTCGTGGAGCTTATGCATTCTAGTGGATTCCACACAGACAGTAACATTGTGAAAAGGCTTAGGGCTTTTGAGAAGAGGAAAGGAGATGATTTAGAAAAATCAGTTCCACAAACAGAATTGCTCTGTGGGGAATCATTAAAAAAAAAAAAAAAAAAAAAAAAACAACCGAAAGCAGTGTAAACCTCAGCAGCTGGCAGTGGACGTGGCTCACTGCCACATGAGTCAAGCTGCTTGAGCTCCTTTGCTTTCTAACCACTAATTCATCAAGTACTTACTCAGTGTCTGCTTTGTGCCCAGCATCGGGTCATTGTGGAAATGAGTAGAGAATTTCTTTAGTATTAGGTGTTTTCTTTTCCTCCTAGGTCGTGATATCATTGGGCTGGCAGAAACGGGCTCTGGAAAAACGGGGGCTTTTGCTTTGCCCATTCTGAACGCCTTGCTAGAGACGCCCCAGCGTTTGTTTGCCCTAGTTCTCACCCCCACTCGGGAGTTGGCCTTTCAGATCTCAGAGCAGTTTGAAGCTCTGGGGTCCTCTATTGGAGTACAAAGTGGTAAGTGTCTGAGAGGAAAGGCGTCTTAGAGAACGGAGGAACATATTGTTAGGATAAGGTCGTGGAGCTAAAGAACTGATCTGGTTTTTTAGCTTTGGGGGTAGTCTTAATTCTAAGGGAAGAGTGAATTTAAGCAGAGATCTAGCATTGGTTTTAAAAGATGTTCAGTGGTCTAGGGGAAGAAAGGATCTCTTTTTTATGTTGTTTTTATTCCTGTAGCCGTGATTGTAGGTGGAATTGATTCAATGTCCCAATCTCTGGCCCTGGCGAAAAAACCACATATAGTGATAGGTGAGTAATTGACAAGGGTAAAACATGCTGGCAGTGATGAATTGGAGAAAATCTATCAATGCTGGGTATATCTTATTTGTGTGGAAAGACTTTGAGAAACAATTTTGGGTAACAGCTTAGTATTTTTAATG